GACATATCTTACAGGGAAAGATCCCTTCTTTTGTGCAAATCAAACAATTTTTCCAGTCCATTCAGCTAGAAAGATCTGTTTGGACTTGAAAAGATGCGTATCAAACGGTGTCTTACTCCATTACAACACTAGTTCAATAATGGTATGGGAATAGGTAACCTGATATAAGTTGAATGGTACCAACCTTCATGGTTGGTATCAATGAGTTACTTTTACAAATGTTTAAATTACAAAGAAATAAGAACGTTATGAGTTACTTTTTCCGGATCCAGAAGTTTAATTTATAACACAGTCAATGGAGTTTAATGTCCTTCCTCGACCTTTCACTATCAATATTAGGGTTGAGCAAAGCGTTTAACCGAAAACCTAAAAACGGATAAAGCCGAAAATGAACTCAAATCGTTGATTTTGGGTTTAGATTTTTCAAATCGAAAAATTCGGTTTATGTTCGGTTTGCACATTAAAACTAACCAATTAAAAAAATCGAACCAACCAAATGGATTTAAAACCGAATAAAAACTGAAACCCACTTTAAACCAAAACCCAACAACCAGTTTTAACTTTTAATCTTTCTTAGTTTCTTCAAACTAGTTGGCTTTTAATCATTCTTATTTTCTGTAAACTAGTTTGTTGATTTTAGTGTTTTTGTTTGATATTAAATTTGGTTGAATATTTTTTCATTTTATTTAGAATTTCTGAAAATAGGTTAAAACCCAAAACCCATCAACCCATTGGTTAAACCCGAATAACCAACTTACGAAACCGAACCCAACGGGTTTCGAAACCCAAAACTGAACTTTTCGGTTTGGGTTCGGTTTTACCCCAAAACCGACCACTTCTCACCCCTAATAAATATTATAATAAATGTGTCATAAACATTGTAGTCGATATGTAATAATTTGGAGCTTTGGCGAGCTTAATAATCTTCACCAACCACTAAAATACGATAGTTAAATAGTCATAAATTTTTTACTTTCCATAAACGTAGAAGTTAATAAGGTACTATTCACCTAATGTAATTAACTTTCGTATACTTTTAGGTCTTTAAGTTCACTAACATTGTAAAATGGGTTATTCTAAAATATCATCCAAGATATAAATCAAATACACAACCACCAACTAAGTGGCTGACATAACATAAATTACCCAATACACACTTGAACCCAAACTCGGACATCGTTTTCGTTATGAGGCCAGAGTTTAAGTTGATGTACCATCATACGATGATAACATCTTGATGATATACACCGGATCTCCCACTTTGATTATCTTTTCATTTCCCTCTTCATGTACATTGGCACATACCATATTTTGTCCAAAGTACACCTATGTAAAAAAAACATTTTAAAGATCACACACAAAAAAAAAATCAACAAAAAATATTTCATAACAAATGTTACCTTCCCTTGCCCCTTTCGATCTGGACACAAGACTTTCCCAGACCGAAACTTTACAAGAGATTCAGTCGGCTCAGCACCCACAACTCCATTTTCCTGATTAATTGTGGGTATCTGAAAAGAAAACCATCTTATCAGATGTAAATAAATCAGATACACAGTGGTCCACTGCGATAGAAAACACAGGTGTATTGTTTTACCTTACATCGGGAACAAAGTTTGACACCATGAAATGTTAAATTTTTTATCTTGATCTCTTTCCAAAAGTCCTCAGAGAACGGTTCACAGCCATCAACCAGAATGCTGAAATATGTAAATATATGTATATAAGGGTATGAAACGTTGAAAATACAAATTTTTGTTAAGGGACTAAATCGATAAAATGGTGAAAATACAAGTATTTTTTTTTTCTTTTTTGTATTTTTCCCATACTGAATGTATAAAATATGATACGTACTTCGGTCTAAAACGGTTTATGGGTACAGGTTCCTTGAGAACATCATTCAATGAATCTAGGGATCCCTGACAAAAAAAAAAAAAAAAAATACGTTAAAAATTTAGAAATCAAATTTAATAAAAGTTTGATATAAATAATTAAATACTAGTAACTTGAAAATTAACCTGGGACACTACAAGGTACGGATATCCATCAGAAAACATAACTCTGAATCCAGGTGCATAATCGGGGTCCACCACTCTAGTCTCCAATTCTGTATACACATAAAACTTTCGTTAATTTATTTATTACTAAATCATCATGGAAAATAGAAAAACATTAAGAGAAATGGAAATGGAATTACGTACCTTGATTAAAGCGTACAAGGCGACTAGGTTTGCCAAGATAATTGGTGAACCATTTGGACGCTTCATCTCCCTCATCCAAACCAGATCCTGACCACTCCCAAACTGACACATCATCACATGTTTGACTTTGAGGTGGTCTACACAATGGCACCTTCAGATCATCCATCCCAGGAGCTCTTATCACTGAATTAATTTTACATCATTGATCAATGCTTCATGTTGTTCAACATGTTTGGGTTTATGATGAAAAAGAAAATAGTGGAAATTAAGATTGAAAAAGAAGTAGAGAAAAATAAGATGATGAGAGGGTGTTAGTGTTAGTGTTAGTGTTATTTACCCAAGTAAGAGGTCTTGTTTGGGGTCCAACCCATTGAAACTGAACCCTGAGGTAGCTCTACTTCAACCAGACATAACTTTGGATCTACTCTTTGTGTACAAGCTCTTCCTTTCGAGTTCACAACAACCCACTGTCTATCCCAGATAAAACCTGTATATGATAATAATATTAACACAAAATTAGATTCAAACTAGATCAGTTCATTTACATATTCAAAACCACAAGTTTCCAGTAAAAAGAGAATTAGATACACGTTTCAACAAAGGTTTCAGAACAAAAAGAGAAATCATATTACACATGACCTCAACACCTAAACATAGAATGACATGTAGAAATCTCTCAGGAGAATGTTATACCCTTAAATATCATGATAACTCGAGGAATGTCACTCCTGAATTCAGTTTAAAATCATGCTGACAAAATCTAATTTCTGTGATTTTTAAGCCCCAAATTTTCATTTTCCGCGGGAGATTGTAGTGCAAAGGAAAGTCATGTTAATGGAAATGAGTGAGATAATTACAGAAAGGTACTGATGAACTTAAGTGTAACCTAATTCAATTCGGAGAATACGCCATGTAATGAAACGAGAAGGGGAGATTGGGTGAATTATATGTACAAGTGAAGGAGGAGAATTAAACTCACCGGTGGAAGAAACGGGTGCTTCTGAAACAGAGATACCCCTGCAAGATTTGATTGGATATAGGAAGATCGATTTCACTGTGGCTGCTGCTTCCGCCATAGCTCCGTTTAAGACACAACGACGATTAAACCTGATCCGGTAGAGAAGAAGATGCATTTATGTAGTACAGAATAAAAATTTTGTTAAGTTATATAATAAAATAATATATTTGTATAAAACATGTCATATTTAAGAAATTAAATATCTTCCTTCTTTTATTTTTATTTATTCCTCTATTCATGTAAAGTAATGATTCTTATCTATTTTTTTATTCATATAAAACAAATAATTATTCTTATTTATTTTTCTATTCATATAAAACAACGAACAAATGTTTTAAAATGTTATTACACTTTATATAGATAAAGGATAGATTAGAAGAAAATATAAAAGGGTATTTAAATTTTTTTATTTTATTTATAGGAGTTACTATAGAACAAAGTGTTAGTACATGAATTAATTAATAAAAAAATGTTATTACATAAAATGTTGCTTTGTTGAAGATTCATTTAGTTTTATTAATGGAAATGAAAATTCGATGCATAACAGAATCCAGTCGCACCATTCAATGAATCTAGAAGTCTTTGCCGAGGCTTTAAAACCTCATACGCATCCTCGTAACTATTTTTGCAAACTCTGCAAATGCTTGAGTTAAAGACAAAATATATAAATAAACAAATAAACTATAATATATTTTTATTATATTATTGTTTTTTTTCTATTTGATATATTTTGTTAATAACACACTTATAAAAAAGGGGTTAATTTCAAACAATATAATAAAAGACCACTTTGAAAGTTATTGCAACATGCACAATAAAAAATAACCAATGAGGAACAGATAAGCGGGATATATGTTTACAAATCCAGAAAATTTATACAATCATGTCAATATTGGTGCTTATTTGAAAACAAACATTTATGAATAAAATAAAGCCAAAATAGATAGTTTTTTTTTTTTTTTTTGAATGACAAGACTAGTTCTTATCATAAATTCAAACAAAACTAGTTATAGATAATATTATTTAACAAAAGGCTTGTGTGTTACATTGCTAATGAACTATAAATCCTCTGAGAAAGTTTTATTTGGATGAGATATATTACTTTTACTGAAATATTGGATTTAATGGGTTTTGAATCTAGACAATAATGTAACATCAATGTGATGAGTTTATTTTATTATTATTATTATTATTATTATTATTATTATTTTTTTGGGCAAGTCAAGATATTTGACTTCTTTGGTTTTATTTGGCATCTGGATTACAAATAAACTTACAACAAAAAAACATGTAAGTTTAGATTGTGTAAATGGTGAGATGTAAATAGGCAAATGGAGTTAGATAATGTAAAAGAATTTGTGGGCAATATTTGTCAAAAATATGAAATTACATATAATTAACCTTACAAAATACCTTTTAAGAAACAAGCCAAGAACAACATACACCTTATTAAAGCCAATAAAATTTTCAAAAAGGCTTAAACATTTCAACGTTCATTTCTAATGATGATTGAAATCCCTGAAAATAAATTTGCATTTGCATTTGCAATAAAACCTAATTTCATTTTTTATTTCTATTTACTACGTTTAGCAGCACGCTTTCCTTGCCCCTTCTTTGGGGGTCCCTTTCCTCGACGCTTCAACATTTCAAGTTTTGATAAACGCCTGCATCAATCAATTAAACAAACAAATATTCTCACTTCTCACAAAATTAAATTATATAAATATTTATTGTTATTGAAGAGTGTGTGTGTGTGTGTGTAAGAGGTTGAGAAATATTACTCTTGTTCTTTGCGTGCAACAACCATGGGGTCTTCTTTCTGGATGTCATTTGGATACCATGAAGCAACTTTTTCACCAATGAATTTCTTTCTTAAAATTTTATGAGCAGATCTTTGACCAGTTGTGTTAAGTACATGACCAAATATCTTTGCTCTTGCTTCATTTACTCCTCTAATGGCTGCTTCAGCCAACATGCTTCTTAAGCTCATCTTTCCTATCTCCATTCCAATTCCAACAACAACAACAAAAAAACTCAACATTCAGTAATTCATAACAATAATGTTAGCATAAACATGCTTCTTAAGCTCATCTTCTTTCTAAATGTCGTTTGGGATTTTGCTTATTAACCAATTAAGCACTTTATGATAAAAGTGCTTATTAGCATAAACATGCTTCATTTTCAAGTTTTGCATTCAATTCCTTATACACCCCACTCAATCCTTTAAGAGACTTCCAAACCGAAGCCCTTGATATTAGGATAGGTGTTTATTGTTGATGCAAATATACATAAATCACACAGATAATCACACAATCCACAACAATGGTTTATTCTTTTTCTTATATCAATATGGCATGTGAAGGCTGAATGTGTATAACAGATTCCAATAAAAAAAATTGAGATATTTGGATCTTTTAGTTAACGAAGAAATGATACAGAATTCAAACAGAAATCACAAAGGCTGAATATGTAGGGTTGAACTTTTAACAGATTCCAGAAATTTTTGAGACATTGCCTCTTCTACTAAACCTAGAAATCACACACACAGAGAAGCTCATCGATTCCAGAAAAACTGAACCAGAAAAATAAGTCAATGTGCTTCACGATTCAGAAAAAGAAAGAGAGTTACCACAGGAATCACACACTAATTAGACACCAATCGAACAACTAATTGCAGCGGCTTCATCGAATCAGACAAGCATACGCTCTACAGAACCAGAAAAAAAGAAAGTGACTTACCAGGAGATCGGAGAAGGCGAATACTGTAGCTGGAGCCGAGGCGGAGGTCTGCAGGCGGAGATCGGAGAAGGGTCGGCGGTGAGGTGGGGGAGAAATTGCAGTTGTGGAGGCTGCTTTGAACGAGGGGAACTGTGAACGACGTATAGGTTTTGGGGGCATTAATGTCATTTTACAAGCTCCTTAAGAAGTCATCCGTATTTTGAGGGGTTTAAGTTTAGGAAATCTTTCAAAAAAATCTTAATATTTTGCCATAATTTATGAAAAAAAAAAAATGTGAAAGTTAAAATTTATTTAGGAAAAAACATGAATTATCAGTAAAAATGGTGATTTTTCCATTTTTTTTCCGGTTTATTGGTTTCATTACTTACCTTAGGACTGACAATTCTCGATACGATACGCGACACGACGCGGATTAAATGGGTTTGGGTTGAGTTTTTCAACCCGTCAACCCACCAACTCGTTTATTAAACGTGTTATATATGGGTTTCTCAAAAAATAAACGGGATGACCCGCTAATCCGTTTATATTCATAATAAAAATATATATATATTATTTTAAATTGTATTTATGTATCAAATATTAGTATTTAATAAGTATTATACAATATATACCACTGATTCATAGACCAATTGTCTGTTTTGAAATTTTGACTCGTGGTGGATGGTCTAAGATCGTAAGTCGTAACCTATAAGGCTAAGTCTGTAATATTTATCTATGAATGCTTTTAATTTTCATTTGGATGTTTAAAACTTAAATGTCTAAAATTCAGATATGTTTGCATCAACCATCAAGAATTTATTCATGTTTAATTGTCAATTTTATTTATGGAATCTAACCCGCAAACCTAAATCTGACTCACGAACCCTCCAACCCATGAACTCGTATAAATAAATGGGTTGACGGGTCATATATGGGTTTAAGTTCCAAACCCGCCAACCTGTGACCTGTATATTTAAATGGGTCGTGTTTGGGTTGACATATTTTGACCCGCCAACCTACTAGTACCATCTAAAGCCTTCATGATGATAAAGGGTAAATTAAACTTTACTTGATATAGTTTACTTTCTAATCGGTAGAAATGTCCTTTTAACTTTTTCTGGATTATACTTCAATCACTATTAATTGTATCTAGAATACAAACTCCAACTAATTACATAATTGTAGAATATTCTAAAAGGGCATTTAGATTATTATATATAAACCCACCAAGAATAAGTTTATTTATTCCTCTGAAATTTGAGTTAGCAGAAAGCAAACTTCTAATGACAAAGCAAGTGGGAGGCACATGGAAGTTGAAGTAGTTCAAGGATCATAGCCTGATGTAACAATTGTTGGCACTAGAAATTGTTAAATATGAATAATAGTTATTCATAAACACAAATTGTTCACAATAATGGTAGAAATCATCTATGACTTGAGAATTGTGGAATCTCTCATTAATGAGTTCTTGATGGCTTCTAGTTAAACCATCAACTACCAAAATATTATATTAGATCTTGAATCTGACCAATGACTTAGAGTTATGAACATTGAGATGTAATCCATGTTTAATAATCAAGTATGGGCTTGATTAATCTTTCTATAGCAAGGCTTGAAGGAGTATGAGATTCTTCTAGGAAGAATAAATACATGGATAATTATACATTTTAATAGTACTTGTTATATAAAGTTTTTTCTCATACTCATATCATTGACTATGGTACTTATCATACTCATGACATTGACTATGATCAAACCTTTACACAAGTAGCTATGAAAGGATATTATTTACTATAACTTTATATTCTTAATATGACATAAAGCAAATAGATTTAAAGAAAGACCGCTTTTCTTAATAGACATCTACCAGAAGATACCTATATAACTTAGCTGGAGGTTTTCCTAATCCATGTTTTCCTGACCAAATTTGTAAGGCTTAAAATCCACTTGTGGATATAAAACAAACATTTCAAGGTTGGAATAGTCATTTTAATATAAAGATACAAGGTATGCTTTTATATCAAAATGAAAACGAACGTGTGTGTTTACTAAGATCTAGTGGGAGGATAGTGATATTCCTAATCTTGTATGAAAGATACATACTTAATCATTTGAAATGTCATTCCGACTATGCAAGGTGGTTTTCACCTTGACTCGGAAAGTATTTCTAAAATGAAAAATTTAGGAATGAAAAGATACATTCTTGGAATGTAAAATCTATAAGAGATAGATAAAGATGAATGTTAAAGGTTTTAAAATTCTTTTGCATGAAATGACAATATCTTGAAAGAGGTCAAGATACAATAATCCTTTGGAAGATTCTTGACATTGTTACATGACTCCATTTTAGAGTTTGTCTCAAATGGATCTAGCACATAGGTTTGAGCTAGATAAAATGATTTATATTCTATTTGCTTAACAAATGAATTCATCATTAATGTCATTTCATGAGATACAAAATTTAATACATGGTTAAGTCACTAGATGATTGGGAGAACATTCTAAGATTACTTAAGCTGAGCTAAGAGAATGTGTATGAGATAATTAGTTTAGAATAAAACCTTAATGTAAAGAGCTACATAGGATTTTGATTTCTAAATAAATATAGATAATTGTGAATTATAATTAGATTATGACTTCATTTTGGAATGAAGAGTAAGTTTAGTTGGAATGACGTCCAAGCAAAACATAATGACCCAATCTACTACAAAATATTCATACACAACTTTTAAAGGTGAAATCAAATATAATTGGATGAACGAGTTCATTGAAAAACTATGTTGATTTCTGCCAGTCACGGATCACATAGAAATCTTAGTGACTTTGAGAGTTGACTTAATCAAGCTAAGGGACTCCATGTCACCAAAGAACACCAATCATATTCTCCAAGATATTTAATCATACCTAGAGTAAAAGTCAAATATGGAGATATAGTATTCGCGAAATTCACACAAATTAAATTTAGTCGAACCCATTAATAAAGTCTTTCCTTTTAAGCTATGTATGAGTGGTCACGCTTAAGCCATAAGACTTTTATTATTCTAGAAATGAGATTTTGATTTGGATTTAGTATTTGGATATTAGAACATGATGGATTTTATAGACAAGAACTTTCGTATGTGATCATGCAAACCCTAATACTTGGATCTAGGTTTCTCTATTGTACATGCAATTCATCCAAGATTTGAAACCCTAGATCTAGCATACATAAATCAAAATTGACATAAGAATATCAGATCTAGATTTTTTTTTGAAACGGCAAACTAACTAATCTACTCCTAAATAACCACCTATGTCTCCATATAGACTTGAACCCCTGACCACTCATATGAGATGGTCACTCCATACCGCTAGGCCATTGGCCCTTTGGTAGATCTAGATGATTACCTCTTTAAGAATGCTTGATCTTTCTTCCTTGTTGAGCTTAGAGTCACACGTGTAACTCCTCTAATGGCTTACAAACACCAAGAGGCAAGAAGGCTATTATGTGAAAGGGAGGAGGCTCTAAATTTCGACCCTAAGGTTCTCTTGGAAGCAAGTTCCGAAATTTGAAGGCTAGGGGTCTTATTTATACTGTTGGTTGCTAGGGTTTCAGTCAAAACCCTAATGGACAACTTAATCACCAAGCAACCCATGGAACCTTCTGGAATAGGTCTTATGGATGAATTTTTGATGGACTCTCATCATAATTTCGTTCCCCCTTTGATCCATTAGGTTTCCCAGCCTAAAATCCAACTATCACACATTTGACAGTTTAAACCCCTTTATTTAATTAATTTCTTTTAGCCACCAAATTAATTCTTAATTAATTTTCTAACTAATATTAATTAAATAATATGATTTTACTTTTAATATATTAATCTTATAATATATTAATAAATCATAATATCCTCTCGCTCTCCATAAATTACCTTGTCAAGTTGCTTTGGTGATGACAACCCAAAAGGACCATGCACAACCGGGTCAAGTACATACCAAATATAGTTATGGGCTTAGACATTAATCCATCAGTCTCCCACTTGGATAAGTCCGATAACTATATATAACATATGACTTCAGGATCCGGTTAGCAATTGTAGCTCTTATACGCTGCTTTCAACTCTAATCAAAATATTGTCCTTTAGATAAGGGATCGTCTAATCTTGTGTTCTAGATATCAAGCTGACAATCACATGGAACATAGTCATACTTATTGTCCAACATATTTTTCCTCGATCTCTGATTTTTTTGACATAGAACTTAGTTGAACACATCAACTTCGTCCTGACCGGGACCGGCACA